TATATAAATCCTTAATTTAACATAATATAAAAGCTATACTCATCACATTTTTCAGCAAAAGACACAATTAGGTTAAACATGTTTAAATAACTAGGGAATATTTGTATCACTTATTTTTAATGAAATTGTGTTGCATAGCAATTAGAACCAATGTTGTAGAAAGTGCTAGCTAGCCAATGCTTTGGCCAAGGACAGAGCCATAAATTTAAGTTAGGGAATGAAATTCTAAAATTTTTTGCGATTCATTTATTAGTTTACATTAATATAATCTAAATCTAAATCAATTTTTATATCAGTCATTAATTTTATGTATGTATTACTACGCACTTTTATGATACATACCAAATTTTAAAATTAATTAGATATGTCTAACTATATATTAGATACATATATGTAACTAGATCTTGACTATTTTTTAATATTTTTCTTACATAAATTATATCATCACATGTTAAAAATTAGTCACAAGAGAGAAATGATCCATTTACTTAGTTCCTAAATGCCTTCTTTATATTTGAAATTGTCCTTATAACTTAAACTTCAAAAATATAATTTTGTAAAAAACAAAAATTAATATACCATATTTGACATTTTCAAAAGTTTAGGAGGGCAGCTGCACTAGCTCCGTCCTTGGCTTCGCATTGGATCACATCCTAAGAGCATTTGTACAATAATGGGAGTTCTGTTTCTAAGATAAGGAAATCTTTATCTTCTACTCAATTCCTAACGTCATTTTTCTTAGCCAATTAGATATTACCGACAACGTAAATCTTATCTTTATCTATACATTCATTCCTCCCTCTTGCATAATAATCTCTTTTCATCTTGTAGTTTCAGTGAGGTTCAATCTTCCCAAAGATTGGCTTTAATTAGTGAGAGTTCTTCTCTTCATATGTGGTTTCGTATGAGTTTTATTGGCACTTTCTCTATTTTTCTCTTTGATATGAAATAGGTGGAGGTTCAAAGTAGGAAAGACAGGTTGGTGTTTATTATATTGCCTCTCAAATGCATTGACCAACGAAATATCTCAACAAGGAATCTATTCAGACAAAATCTTTTCTATGGATTAAAAACAAAGAGTCAGGATGTGTGTTTTCTTATACAGATTGGATATCAAGGCCTATGGAGTGTAAGAAAGCCGTAATTCAACATCGTCAAAACTCGAATAATTACAAGAAGATGCAATGCGTCATGATCTGATTTACTTGTGGGTTTTTTGAGTACTTGTGGCACAGCTCCTGAATGTATTTAGCTTATGGACAACTGTTTTTTGCACTTTTGATTTTTCTCTTCAATTGAGTAGTGGTTTAAATGTTTGTATTTTGTGGCAGAGTATTTCTTATACTCCGAGAATAATATAAAGGCTATTTGATTTTGCTGATCAAAAAACAAAATATCTCAACAAATGCTTTTTCTTCCATTGGTCTAAATTAATTATACTAACTTACAACTTTACTATCATAACTAAGTCTGGAATTAGATTCAACTATAATATCTATGTAATTTTTACATTGCTCAATAAGTCTAGTATATTTGGTATTCTACATTGCTAGGTTTTATATTTTCTATAATCCTTACCTTTTCTTATTAATAAGGTAGATTGCTGAAAAAAAAAAAGAGACAAAAAGAAATTAAGAATAATTAAGGTTAGCGAATATGTAACGAGTCTCCTTTCTTGGGAAATTAAAAGCATGAAGAACTATGTATCTTATCAATTTAGTCCTTCTCTTGAGCAAGTAAAGCAAATATTGGAGGCGATAATGGCTCAAGGAAATAGTGGTAGATGGAGTCTTCAAGGAACGACTACTCTAGTCACCGGTGGAACCAAAGGAATCGAGTTATCTTTCTCTCTTTTACCTTAAAGTTTTCTTTTTGCTTTCTTAAGTTGATACATGATCTAATTAATCCAATTATATATCTATATATCATTAGGCATGCCATCGTGGAGGAATACTGGCCAGACTCAGGGCAACCGTGCACACTTGC